GGGCCTGAATAATTAGAATAGGGTTTGGGGGTAGATTATACTATTCAGGAACCCCCAAAACCCTATTCTAATTGTTAAGGCCCCTACATTACATGATTTGCAGAAATCACACCAAGCCCCGAATGCTTCGACATCAGACAAGGCAAGCGGATGGCGTCAACAACCAGTTATGCGGAGTTCAAGCGATTCCCAGAGTCCTGGAGCTATTCATCTAGTTCTTTCATACCAATGCCAAGAAAGTTCATATGATAATCATGATTACTTATACACAGAACACTGTCAAGAGCAAGTATCCGGTCATTTTAGTTTGCAGTCGACAAAATCCTGCATGCTCTACACCTTGCGCCCTGTAGACGAGTCTACCCTCCAACAGAGTTGTAGGGTTTACCGTGATGTTCCACAGCCGACTTACTCCTCAATCTTATTTTCGCCGCATACATGCAATTGACAGAGGCTCTCTGACAGCTTGATGCTCTTTGTTGCTTTCAGGTTTGTTGTTCTGGGGCTTAGGGCTTCGAAGGCAAAATCAAGGATTCGGATGTCGAAGAATCCGTCTGCCGGCTCAGGGCTACTTTGTGCAGCAACTCCTTAGTGCCAGTGGATGCCGGTGGGAAGGGTCGGGGTCGAAACTCTAAGCATTTAGGGTGTTCGAGCTTCGAGTAGGGAGGCAGGAGCCTACAATGACCACTGAAGTAAGATCTTCATTTCCAGCACGCAAACACCCAAAATGCAGAGGGCACGAAGATTTCGGAGGAGCCCCATGTACACGCCACAAAATAGTGTAAACACTGCTTCTCCCGAGCTAAACTAATGTAAACTCCAATTGCCGCAAGCATTCCAGAGATAGACCGCCAAACCAGAGCACACTCCACCTCCGTCAAAAAAGAGACGACGACGACCACTAGTACTCCTGCTTCTACTGCTGCTACTGCTGCTGCCACTACTACCACTACCACTATCACTACAACAACAACTACCACTACTACTACTCCTCCTCCTGCTCCTGCTGCTGCTACTACTGCCCTGCTACTGCTGCCGCTGCTACTACTACTACTACTACTACGACGACGACGACTACTACGGTTAACTACAAAGAACCATACAAGACTAGCCATTAATATATAACAGTAGTCATAATCAGTATGATCACACCACAAGACTAAGGATGAGAGTCATGTCAGTAATGACAGCAATAGCTCTGGGGCTCCATTCTGTGGCCCGGGCATCCACATCACTCGACTAGACAGTAACCCTAGAGAACCAAATGCCACCCTTTCACAAGTATACATAGACGGTAAATCATTGCCCTCACCATGGTCGTCACCATGAGCATCGTCGTCAACATCGAATCATCGTCGTCGTCATCACCATTATCATCATCATCATCATCATCATCGATTTCATAATCATAATGTTTTTCATGGTTGTTGCTGGCGTCATCGTAGCCAACACCATCACCATTTCCACGATCGGTATCATCGTCATCACAGTCACTGTCTTCGGCATGATCGTCGACATCGCGTCCATCCCCAAAACCGCACCGTGTGCAAACAAACACAACACAGTGTAGTCGTTGCAGTGTATGACGTGTATGATTGCCATGTTCATCGCTTTGCCGTTGGATGTCGGCTTCTCGCATTCTTCGTCGGTTGCCCTTCCAACAACCAGGCGCTCTTGGCAAAGGCTGCTACACTATAAACTTCAGGTATCTCACTTATACTACGAGTGCTCAACAACAAACATATTAAACATATACAAGCTGTGTTTCCTACCGGAGCCGGACAAGGAGAGGCGAAGGCCCTGCTACCAAAGCTCTGGTACGTCGGAATCATGTACTTGATGTTGATGAAAGCATCCTCTCCCCGGGCATGGGCATGGGGCTCGTTTAGCAAATGCGTAGCCACTAAACCCTAAACCCTAAATCCCTGAACCCCTAAACCCTAAACCCGTTCTAAGGTGTGGGAGCTCTTGGAGTCAGTGAGTTGAGCGTTCGCAAGGCAACGAAAAAACCTTCGCGGTTGTGTGTGTGTCGCGCGCGAGTTTTCGTGGGAACCTCCGCGAGAAGCGTTTAGGGTTTAGGGGTTTAGGGTGTCCCGGGGCTTTCTTGCACGGCAACTGGAAGGCGGCAAGCTATTTACAGGGAACTTGCGGATGTTACTGTTGTCGTTTCGTGGGTAGGTGACCAGAGTCCTAACAACCCTTCCACCGATCTTTATATAGAACTCTCAAAATAACTTATCGAACTACGCTGCAACGCCCTGAACCTTGAATCCCTCAGCCCCTGGACTCTAAACCCGACACCCCGGCGCTCCTAAACCCTAGGGCAGGTGACCGTAAACCATAAATCTTAGTGCAGGGTGTAAGGTTTAGGGTTTAGGGTATTGGTCTGAGGATTCAGAACACATCCACGGCTGCCTTGCGGGAGCCATCCTTGATTTCGGGTTGAGGGATTATGGGTTTTTAGCGCTCGGGACTCAGGGACTCTAAAAATAGCGGTTAGGATTTAGAGCTTAGGGTTTAGGGTATTACAGTAGCCATGTGCACCGCTTTTGATCATGCTTTGTACTGAAGGTTTTTAGTGCATCAGCCCAGCCTTCGCCAAGATTGGAAATCCTTCCTGTCAAAAACCTTGTAGGCAACACCCCCCCAAACATGAGATTTCAAACACACACACACACACTCTCGCACTCTCTCATCACTCACTCACTCACTCACTCACTCACTCACTCACTCACTCACTCACTCACTCACTCAATGCCACTCACTCTCTCTTTCCATCTGTGACACTCACACGCACATACACACCTTGAACCCTGACCCTACAACTCCTTAAACCCCAAATCGAAAGTAGCCCACACGCTGCCGAGTCCTCGCCGCCATGAGATTCTAACATTTCCAGAGTCTCTTCCTGAGTCGTCACTTGAGGTCCGGTACCTACCGTTTCGGGATGTTTCGGGTTTAGGGGTTTGGGGCTTCGGGGTCTAGATGGTTTGCTTCGATTCATGGTTCGAAGATTGGCGCCCACTGTGTCTACTTTTCGCCGCCAACTCACAGTACTGGAACTATCCAATGCTTGATCTGGGTTTGTCAAGCCGCGAACTCCGGCAATGTAGAGCTCAAGTGCATTGGCTGTCCGGAGGCGGACTTCACGAGACTCAAAAAACACACGACCATGGCCAAAACCATCGTTGTCAAACAGCTTTCAGCAAAAGCTTCCACATACTTCCAAACCGAATTGGAACACATCAGCAAGTAAGCGGAGATGAGACTCATCACATGAAGTCAGCTCCGCCGAATTTATCTCTGAGTCATCCTGTGCGCCATTCTGGGTGCTTGACACTTCCTTCGAACAGTGTAGAACATTGTAGAACAAGCGCCGCCGCATGCACACCATTAACGAGCAACTGTCCAGAACAGCTCAGAAAGTAAGCGGAGATGTGTCTCATCACATCACATCAGCCCGCCGAATTTATCTCTGGGTCATCACAGCTGTGGGTCGCTGTTTGTAGCCGCAGAATGTTCCCGGATTGGACACGTCACGCAGCACTCGGATGTCAAGCACACCCCTCTCAAAGTAGCGTTCTCAGCGAACACCTCCCATCAAGATAACAAACATCTCAACAACTTTCAGCAAGAGCTTCCACATACTTCCAAACCGAACTGGAACACATCAGCAAGTAAGCGGAGATGAGACTCATCACATGAAGTCAGCTCCGCACGACTGATCATAGCTGCCACAGCCCATGTTCTGCAGAGCAAACTAGACGTGTCGGGGAATGGGACGTCACCAGGGGCATCTCTCTGGCATGCTGCATCAGCACGGACCGGGATGCCTTCGAATGCTGTATCGGAAATGCTCATGCTCAAACTAACCCTAAGCCCTTAAAGCTGTCCTCCTTGCGAGACCCAGAAGCTCAAGCTTCACCTCTGGGTTCTCTCTCTTCCACCCAGACCATAAAACCAGAGCACCTCTAGATCTAAATTCCTAAAGGCAGCCTGAAGACCGTCAACACTCTAAAGCCTCTCATGAAAAGCTGCAGTACCCTGAACAAAAGTGCACCGAACGATTGTAAACCCCCGCCGAAAACACAGAGCCCAATAGAAGACAGTAGAACATGCGTCATCTCGGATCTCTATAAAGCCAAACAGCAAAAATCGATGAAACAAAAACGCAAAATCACAAAGCTTCAGAAAAAGACCAATAACGCCCGAGTATCGCCAGTACAGACATCATCATCACGGACATCTCACTCAGTGTTTCTGCTTGTCAACACGATTATTGTCTTTGCTAACTTTTCTGTGTTACGACAAGTGCCATTACCATTAGAATTCTTGTTGCATTCTGGGTTTTTTGCCTCTGCTAGTGTTATTAAAACTAGTATTAGTGTTTATCATGACACTGACTTTTTCCAGTGACTAGTAATATTATTACAATTACCATTCCCACTCGTATTACTGCAGCTCCTCGGGATCCGGCCACCAGTTCCCCCAGATTTCGTCGTCGCCGCTGTCCGTAGTCCATGGCAGCATCTCGGCAACCGGGTCTTTTTTTCTTAGAGGGTTTTAGAGGGCTTGGGTTTAGGGTTTTGGGTTTGGGAGCATCTCGACAACAGCGTTTCTTTTCTTTGTTACGGCGCCCGAATGGCGATCCCCACGTGTCTTTGGGGCCAAAGCCACAGAAGGGAGCCCAGTTCGGCGCAGGAGGCGCAGGGCCTTTAGGGTGGGGCTCACGGGTTTGAGGCTGTTGGGGCTTTGGGGCTTCGGGTTTAGGGTTGAGGACGACAGCAACCTGACACGAAGATCTGATCAGATCATCGACATCTCTAGCCGCTTTAGCCCCACGCCTTGCAATGCTACGTCACTGCTGCTCTGATATCCCCTGGAAAGGAAGAGACAAAACGCCTGAATTCTGTGGTCACTGCTCCACCCCAAGCCTGCAAGACCCTAAGCAAGAAAGAAACTCCCCAAACCCCTAAGAAGCCTGAGGCCCCTGCCGGTGCCGGTGGTGCTGTCCTTGTAAAGGTTGAAGATCCTCGGCACTTTCCAACCCTGCGGTGGTATAGGTGTTACGATCAGGGACTCCGGGGGTCTAGCCTAATAGGGTTCAGGGCCCAGGGTTGTGGTAACTATAGGGGTGTCTAGTGGAAACTTGTCAGAGGTTACTTTAAGTGGCACCATATGGAGTTCTCGAAATCCGAACTAAATCGACATGGAAACCACAGCCTAGACCTTCAGCCCTAACCTAATTCCCTGCAACTGGGAGCCCACCCGGAGCCTTGCTTTCCTTTCCAGAGTCCAACCCCTATAAACCCCAAATCATAACAAGCATCCGATTCTCAAGGCGCTTCGCACACTTGGCGATACTGCCCCATGGAAGATCGAGCAGAACCGGACGTTGAACGTTCAGCAGTGATACGAAAGCCCGATAGTTGATAAGTATCTAAAGTCAATTACTCAGCATTTCAATCTGGAGCTTTGTGGTGTTTATGTTCCAGCAGAATATGTACTTATAACGTCACTCGTAACGATGGGATCGGAGGCTGGGGGCCCTCTTTCTGCCCCCATTTGAGGCGCCAAGAAGCCTCGATGACGTCACAACATCTACTATCGCCACCTCGGTAACTAGAATAAGGTTTAGGGTATGCATGGGTGTGTGTGTGTGTTTATTATACTGGTACCAAGGAACCCTGAGGAACAGTACTGGAACTAATGTAGGCTTCCAGAGTAGCCAATTCGTCTTCGTGCTCCCCGGCAGCACAGTTTAGGGTTTATGGTTTAGGGTGCCCCTTTATTATGCACTATGGGGTCCTACTTGTCAAGGATGCTTTGTAGCCTGGATCTAAACGCTCTTCAGCTGGACCACCTGACCACCCAACCTGAAATCCCGAACCCACATAACACGAGTTCATGGCGCTTAAACCACCAGATTACGAGTGTATAGCCCTTAGGTTGAGCCTTCAAGCTTTTAACCTTGGATTAGCAGATGGTGGAGTCTGGGAACTGTAAACGCCCGAAACCTTCCACTAAACCCTAAACCGCTAACTCCTACACCCCTATGAGCCAGAAGCCCTAAACCCTAAACCGTCCAGAAACCCCTGATCCTAAACCCTTAAACCTCAAACCCCACCGCCTGAAGCCTAAACTCTGGCCCTAATCCTAAGCCCTGAACCCTAAACCTTATTTGGGCAGTTCTCTAAAGTAGGGTCCCTTTTTAGGTCCCCCTAAGAGTACGGCACCCTTATAAAAAGGACCCCAAAAGGGTCCCTAATTTAGCAAACTACCCTTCTACAGACCCGAAACCCCCAATCCCAAACGTCCAAAACCCCTGTACCCCAATTTGTGAGAGCTTCGGCAGCAGCTGCCTGTAGTAGGGAACGAGAGCCTCCCCAAGAGCTTTTGAGGGAAGCTTTACTCTAGGAGCCGGTAGCAATTTGAATGGTAGAACTCCTTTTAATAGCTTCTATAAATGGGATCTAAGAGGGTTACTATAAGGGCTCTATGACATGGGGGCCCTACATAGGGTGTATGGGGTTGGGGGACTCGGGGTTTAGCACTTTTGCCTGTCCCCCCACGGGTTCTTTGAGTGCCCCACGGGAATGCTGGAACTCTTTTTGTTACTCTAAGAGACGTCCCCTCAAAGTGGTGGCCAGGAGACAAGCCTGCAGGAAACCCGAACCATTCATTCATCTTCTGCTATATATATATAATAATTAGAATAAGAAAAATAGTAAGAATAATAAGCAGAATAATAATAAGAAGAATAGTTCATAAAAATGATAATAATGATGATCTCGGCTTCCTAAGCCGACTCACTAGCCTTGAGATCGTGCCAGAAACGTCGGAGACGGACGCTGAAGCGCCGGCAATGGTCTTCACACAATTCAGCGATTCTTTAAGGGCCTCCTTGAGAACAGCAGTGGCCTCGGTTGCATTGAGATGCAAGCCTGCATTGAGATGCAAGTGATTCTCAACTTTCTCAGTCGACGTAGTCAACAGTTTCTGCGCAGCTGAAGCACATCGCGTGTCCAACAGGCGCAAATTGAACCACTCCATGACTTTGGTGGAAACGGACTTTGTGCGTGCATCCCCACCGCGGCCATCGCCAATCTTCTGGAAGGTGACTCCGAGCGTCTTGAGCGCACCGATCTCGTCAGAAGCGAACCCCCGATCTCCGGCAGAGAGCACAACCTCATCTCGACGCTTCTCTGGTGATGTTTTTCTTCAACTCATCAAACACACTCGTGAGGATCGGGTCGCGGCGCTTGATATGAACAGCTGTAAGACCATAAGGATCCTCAAGACCAGAACCCGAAAAATCTGCCCAGCTCTGCTTGGCAACACCCTTTCCTGTATCATCATCAGTCATTGTCAGACCATTGTGGTCCTTCAAAGCGTCCACATACTTGCCACGTGAGTCATAAACTTCCATGTCGATCTGAACTGCCATTGCACCGCCTACCACGGACTTAAACTGCCTCAGTAGCTTTGTGCCAGCTCACAGTGAGGGGTCCAAGCACAGGTGGGCCTTACCACGAAGCGTCTTCTTCAGAGTGGCCTCGGATTCCTTCGGATCCGCTGATGTTCAAGCGGATTTATGGTTTAGGGCTCCGGGGTTTAGGGGCTTGGGGCCGGGGGTTGGGGTCATTTAGAGTTTGTGGTAAATGCTTAGGCTTTAGGAGGTGGAGGCTTTAGGCTTTATTTAGGGTTCAGGATTTAAGGTTTAGAGAGTGTGGGGTGTAGGGGGTCGAGGATTCAAGGCTTAGGCCTCCACTTAGAAAGCAAACACACGTGTACCCTGAAACTCTAAATAATGATAAGCAAGATCTGTGCGATTCGCATGCCCTGAAACTCCAAGAACGGTTTAATCTCTGCGATGCGCTGCTCCGCACGAATTCGCAACCCTCAGGCGAACTGAAATCACTGCGATATGGCCTACTAAGCCCAACAACCCCTAAACACTAGGCCCATAAACCCTAAACCCTAAACACCAAGAGCTGAAATTTGATAGCTTTTGGGCTAGTCATCATCCTGTACCTGGACTCTGAGTTGCAGTATATCTACACGGTTTTATGAGAAGGATGGTTTGGGGGTTGGAATTTAGGGTCACTACGAAACGGGGAACTTATGTTTCGGGTTTAGGGTTGCCACAAGGGTTTAGGGTTTAGGGTGTAACCCCAAAGCTCTAACTTAACCATCCTGCGAGAAAGCAGGCTGGGGAGGAACATGCCTTGACAAGCAAAACTCTGGGAAGACCCGATAAAGCTTTTGAACCGCCGCCTGCATCAAAGACGCTGATGTAGGGGCCTAAATAATTACCAATACTATTTTGGGGGGTTCCTTATTATAATTATAGTATAATGGACCTCAAAACCCTATTCTAATTATTAAGGCCCCTATATCAAGGCACGGCATAGAACCCAGCAGAAACCCAACAGGCCTTCTAGATTGCCTCCTGCAGCCATGCCGAACAGCAGTACTAAACCTTATCTAGCCATGCTTGAAACCCCAAGCCATACTCGTTAACGCCCTAAGTTGCAAAGGCCAACTCTTCCCCGTAGGATGCCTGACCCACACCTGGGGCCGACGTGATCAGCTTCTGCAGAACCTCCGCAGGTTTTTTCCAGGGCTTCTGGTTCTACTAAGCCTTTACGGGGGGTTCATAGGGATCTTAGGGCTTTGGGGCTGAGGACTAAAATTTTAAGGGGCTTTATAGGGATTTTAGTGGTTTGGGGTTGAGGAGTAAGAATTGTAAGGGTGTTCATAGGGATCTAAGTAGGGGTTTGGGGCTCAGAACTAAAGGTTGGGAGCTTAGGGTTTTGGGGCTTAGGGCTCTTGAATTGAGACTGCCAGGCAGGACGGATGAACAGCGAATGCCTGCAGTGTGCGCGCCACGATGTCCGTGTCCCTGGTGTTGAGGGCAGCCTGGATGGGCGGATTGTTGAATGGTAAGTCAAACGCTCGGAACAGACTCGATAACCCATTTTAATTTACGGGCCCTAGAAGGAACACTAACCTGGAACGTCCTCGGACGTCTCCTTCTGCACCTAAGCAGATCCGTCTCTCGTTGTCCAGTTGGCCACTTAACCGCCTATCAAACACGACATCCAACCTTTTTCCCATATGCTTCCGTAAGGGTTCGACAGGCGTTGGATAGTTCTTGGAGGATTCCACATGGTTTCACAGGGGTTCTTGCAGGGTTCTTTGCAGGGTTCGAAATGAAGGTGCTAGACGCTGCAAGAAAAACATCAATGTTTCATTAATTCCCAAACCCTAAGCCCTTACACAACCCCTTGAAAAGCCCTCAGGATTTTGATTTTAGGGTCTTGAGCTGGTTTTTTTTTTGGCAGATTTTGGGTTTAGCAGGGCTTAAGATTTTGGGTTTAGGCTGTCGGGGGATCGCTCTCCCTGTGGACCTCGGGGCTTTAGGTTGTTCAAATTGTATTGCGGGTTTGGGCCTTTACGATGCAAATGCGCTTTTGGGGCTTTGGGTTCCTTAACCCCGACAGGCCTACCTCCTCAACGATTTATACGAAGCAATCATAATCAGGAGCCCCACAAAAGTAGGTCATTCAGGGTCCAGCTAAAGCTTACTGGTAGGGTCCTGAGGGTTCGGAGATGATAGGTCTCCAGGGCTTTGAGGTTATATACGGCCCACCAAGTACCCGCGGCTCCAAATGTGGGCAACCTGTAACACCTGCATTTTAAGGATCGGGACGAGGCAGGGTATGAGGGAGTGGGTGTGTTGGGTGTTCCGGATTAGAGGGCTTCACGAGTCAAACAGGGTTTCGGGGTATATGATGCAAGAAAAACTAGGAACAGCAAGGTGATATTATTGCTCATCATTGTCATTCCGACCCCTATTTTAGGGCCGTGGGTTTCTGCAGCTCTTGGGCTTTGGGAATAGTAACCCTTATAATCACTCTTATAGTAACCGATTGTAGCAACCCTTAAAACATCAAAACATGGCTTGGAATCGTAACCCTTAAGTAATAGCAACCCTTGTAGTAACTCCATCTTATGGTATCCCTCATCCCTGGATAGGAAGTACTTGTAGTAGTTCGTGTATAGTAACCTCATAGTAACCTCTCTAGGACAAGGCTTTGCGGGTTGCCCGCGGGGAAGCCTTGATGGGAAGGATGAGCTGGGGAATGGTGGAAGTTATCCTGGCCCAGGTGTCGGGTTCAAGTCGCGGATTTCAAGGTTTAGGGTCTGGGTTGGGCTCAGGGTTCAGGGTTTAGGGTTCAGGGCGCAGTAGAGGGTAAACTCGTGTGTCGATGTTGTCGGGGTTGAGTTTGGGGTCTTCAGACAGTACTGGTAGGTACAGGCAATGAACACATACGTCATTACTGACATATCATATGTCTACTGAGATCTAGTGAAACAATGCTGCTGTTGCAACTGCAGATGATAGATGAGGATGCTGGTTGTGGTGGTGGTGGTGGAGGTGGCCGCGGCGGCGGTGTTGGTGGTGGCTGTGGCGGTGCTACTGCTGATGAAGCTGAACACAACAATGATGACGACGAGGAACATGAGCAGGCTTTCAGCGACAAGAGCCGTCTTACACCATGATCGTAAGGTGTGGCGTTGCATCGGCAACTATGAGGAAAACAACCCCAAACACTCAATATCGAAAGCAAGCCGTTATTCAAACAGTTAGTGCACACGAGGGCAGTCCGGCCGCGAGTTTCTGAGGAAACTCCCGAGGCTGCTCGGGGTGTTCATCGGGTTTCAAAGTTTAGGGTTTCAGGTTTTTCATAGGTTTAGGCTTTAGGGGTTTGGGGCTTGGGGGCTTAGGGTTTAGGGATATCCCTGCAGTTCAACTTGCCCAAGCCGCACGTTCATATCACAGGAAGTAGTAAAGCCGTGCCCTTGAACGGACGACAAGACTGCTCCTCAATGCTTTTCGTGCGTTGATCGGAAACCCAAGATTGATCTCACCAGCGAACCCTCAGTGACGTGGAGTGTTTGCATGGGCTAAGACTTGCTAAGACCTATATAACTCAAAGCTGAAACCCTGAATCTGTAAACCGCCAACTCAAAACCTCCAGACCCCTTAAACCTTGAATCTGCCGCTCCCTGTTGTCCTGCTACCGCCGTGATCAAGAAGGCTGTGGATGCCATGTGTGGCAAGGAAGCCATAGGGATCCTCATCAAATTAGGGCTTAGTCTCTTTTAGGGCTTCGGGGTCTCTCTTACTAGTACGTGATCGTGTTCTATGAGGATTCAGATGAGGCTTCCATCAGGGATTCTTCTCGAACCTTTCGGTGGGACACTGGGGGTTGGGGCTGATTGGGTTGGAAGCCAGAGGGTTATAGGGATCCTCATCACTGCAGGGGAATTGGGGGCTTAGGCTCTCTCCCTAAGTCTCACTAGGATCTGTTTGTTGGTTGCTTTTTTTTTGAATGTTTCATGGCGCGTGTGCTTTTCTACATCCCCGATGTTTGCAGGGGTTTCGGGTTCCACTTCTGAGGGCTCTAACCCCCTAAACCCAAATCCGTCTTGGCAAGGGGTTTAGGGTTTAGGGTCTAGGGAGTGAAGTGATGAACCTTCCGGCTGCCCGAGGAATGTTCTGGCAATGGTGACTTGACTCCTTGTCGCCATCGCGTCAGGCGAATGGCTTCGGGAGTTGCCGGCGCATACAGGGGTTTAGGTTGGATACTGCCCCCCTCTCTGTAGCAGTTGAGCAATATTCATAATATGGATATATCAAGCCCTTGATAGTAGCCCGATTAGAGACTGTTACTGTATGGGGGCAGTACCCTAGGTTTAGGGTTCCCTAAGCCCTAGACTTCTTTAAGCTCAGACATGCTTTTCGTGGACCGTCAACACCCTCAACTCCCAAACTCGGATCCTTCAAAGCACTAAACTCGTGAAAACCCATAAACCAAGGAACTGACCCAACATCGAAACACCTCGCACGATTTGCCGCGGTCCTGCTTCTCCTTCAGACCTTTGCAGCTCGAGGCGTTTCTACTGGATCAGAAGGGAAGCCACATCTCTTGAAGCACTGGGCTCATGTTCCCAACCCAACTGGACAAACATCGTCGATAAAGATGGCTGCGCCCTGCAAACAGCTAAATCTAAACCCTAAACCCCAAACCGCAACAAATGCTAACTGCTAGCCCTCTGCACCATCCTCGCCCACACAGCCGAATGCAAAGCTCTATGCTGGCCGTGATGTATTCTACACCTATGCCACCTTACCCTGTCACAGCCTAGGACTTTTAGTAAAGCCCCTGAAAGGATCATCCAAGCAGTGTTAAGGTTGCGCTGTATGCCCTCCTTTCAAAGCTCTGTTTCAACCCTTTCAAAACCCTCAAAGCACTAGTTTCTGGTCTTTTAAACCCTAAACCCTAAACCCCAGGGCCGGGGCCGTCAAAGAAGAGGGGCATGAAGTGGATGTAGTCCAACTTCTCCAAAGATGCTTTCCACCTGGCATGCGGTTTAGGGTTTAGGGTTTTGGGGGTTTAGTGGTTTAGGGTTTAGGGTGTCCGGACCAGCCCCAGTCGCTGAGCCCCGAACGAAGGGGGCACAAGGGGCTTTTTTGCAGGCTAGAGAGAGTCTTGCTTGAGACAAAATTAAGGGTCCCTGTTGGGATCCTCATAGTACGGATCCATTCAGGGTTCTATAGCACGGTTCCCTATTTGCCGAATCTACGGATGTTCGTTATTGGTAGGGTTCCTACTTTTCTACTATCCCCAAACCACAAAAACTCCTCAACCCCAACTGTTGTACTTCGGGTTTAGAGTTAGCGTTTAGGGTTTGGCAGTAGCCCTAACAATTCCAAAAACCCCAAACCCCTAAACCCTAATCCCAAACCCTAAACCCCACTCGACTTTAGCCCCGACGCTTCCGCTTGGTACCGCGAGCTTGGCGAGACCCTGGAAAAAGGCATAGGACCTGAGCCCCGACAGCCCTGCACCCTGAAACCAACACTCCTACAGTCCGAATCTATGGGTTGTCGTCTTATGAAACACGGTTGATGATATAAATCTCGCATTACCCATAATGAGGAATATGCCATAATTCCCCTAGTTTAGGGTCCTTGAGGCAATGCAGGATTTTTGTCATCAGCAGTAGGATCCTTTCTAGGGATGTGGGGCTGCCAGTCCAGTGACAGTTTTCAGGCTTTCGCGGCTGAGAGGCTCAAGAAATTTCGGGACTTGATTTGCACTCTAAACCCCTTTAATCCCAAACCCTATAGTCCCAAACAATATGGCCCTAAACCCTATAACCCTAAACTCTGAACCCACCGACTCAGGCACTCGCGAGTTTAGGATTCGTCGGTGTCGGACACTCTGTGTGCTGGTTTTTGAAGTTTGCATTCTTCAAGCTCTGGATGTGATTTCTGTGTGTTTTTTGAGTTGCTTTGGGCTTCCAGCGCATCTGGTTGAAGAGCTGGCTTTCACCCTAAACCCTAAACCCTTAACTCTTGACATCTCATGTTCGGGATTCATAAGGATTCTCTGGGGAAGGCTTGTGTAGGCAAAGCTGCACAGGGGTGTTGTGCCTCCATGAGCCGTGGGGGTATAGCAGAGTACAGGTCGAGGATGCCAAAGCAGTAATATTGGTTTTTTCACTGTTCCATCTATATTGTATTGCAGTACATTGAACCATCAGCTACGAGGCGCTCCAGGTGTGTTAAATCTTCTGCCCTCTCCTGGCGAGAGGGCAACATCACAAAAGCACCCGTTAGACATACACATCCCTATGCTGAACCAGAAGCCCCAGTGTAGACCCGAATCCCTAAACATCCCTAAACCCTCAGAACCATAAATCCCTGAACTCTACTCCAAAAAGTGTTTGCACTAAACCCTAAAGTACAAATCCGCAGCCCGCACCTGCAATCCATGGAAGGCGCTTCAAAAACAGCCTCCAATATCCGCTGCCCTCAAAATCCACACTCCTCCCACAACCCTCCCAGCCCTCAAACCGCAGCGTCATGTCGTTTTTAGGGCTAGGGCTTGGAGTTTTGGGGTTTGGGATTCTGGGGGTTAGGGGCTTAAGGGCTTGGGATTTAGGAATCAGCATACTCTCATGCACAGGCATGAAGTATGCAAAGTTCTCACATCGTGCCGGAGACGTCATTGTTGGTATGAACCAATGCCATTGCTGTAAACGAATAAGCCAATTCACCACTGACTACCTGCCCTAAACCCTAAACCCCTTTCATCCTAAACCCTAAACCCCTTTCATCCCAAGAGGGCAAAAAGACGCAGGCCCACGTCAGGCTCTTGCTCACGCCCTCGTAGCCTGGTGCTGTACAACTTCAGCCGTAGGCTCGAAACTGGTTCCCTGTTGGAGCCATATTAAACATGATCATTTTTAATCCTTATTCGGGTTTTATTATAACAAACATGTAAAATTGTATCCAACAAGGACCCAGGAAAAAGGTATGGACAACCTCAAATAGCGCAAATGCTCATACGAATATGAAAGATCTGGTTAGCTCTTTCGTTCCCTGCTCGCCCACTGCTGTGGAGAAGTAGCAATAGCAGCCCAAAGCAGCAGCAGGAGCAGGACGGAGCAGTAGCAGGAGGAGTAGCAGGAGGAGTAAGAGTAGGAGCAAGAGGAGGAGTACGAGGAGGATGAGGCGGAGGAGGAGGAGGAGGAGGAGGAGGAGGAGTAGTTGTAGCAGTAGTACTAGCAGAAGCAGTCGTCGCGGCCGTCGTCGTCTCAGTTATTCATATTTTCAGATTGTAGCAATCGTGGGTTGAAAAGTGTAAGGTTTGAGCTTTTCGCTTTTGGAATCGTGGGTTGAGGGTTTAGGATAGCATGGACTTAGTTTAAGTTGCTGGGCAGTTTGTGATTCGCACTGGGGCTCTTAGGGAAGTATCCCACCTCTGTTTAAGGGGATAGCGAAAGCAAGAGCTCCTACAGCACTATGGGGGCTTAGGGTCTAGGATTCAGGGCGTAGGGCTTCGGGTTCAGGGCATCGCAAGCGATGCCAAGCAACATGCTTGCAAGGAAGCTGCAACAAGAATCGGTCCGGCTGGGGTACAGAAGGGGAGGTGACCCGTCACCGAGCCGTGTCTCTTGCAATTTTTACAAACCCTTGCAGCACGCGTTTCACAACCTCTTCATGTTCTTTGCCACGGCAGAAGAAGACAAAGGAACATCAGACTCTTTGTGCTGCATGCTTCCGTAGATGGCTTCAGCACGG